AAAAGAGTGAGAATTAATAGTATACAAATGAAAAATGTTGTTCTTGTGTGCAAATTAAAAGGATAATTTTGCTTCAATACAAAAAAATTGTGATTCTTACTCTTATGGTATGTGTTCAAATAAATAATATTATAATAAAATGCATGTTTTTTTTTGGAACATTTCAATTTCTTTGTTATAAAAGTGGTGTTTCACAATTTGAGTTTTTCCCTAAAAATACTAATCTGGAACATGCATTTGCATAATTTTGTTGAGGTGGTGCTTGACTAAGTGTACATTTCCTCAAAACCCCAATTTTTGAAGCTGAGTACCCTGGGCGCCAAGTAAAGGATTACTGTTTGTTAGTGACAAAAAACAGATTTGAGTTTCAGTTTATTTGAGTAAACCATCATTATCATACAATAACTGTAAACCAATAAGTAGTATTCAAATCAATATGTACTCAAGAATGCAGAGACACATACAGAACATCCTGAAAACAGTTACTTTAATATGTACATCAGCTAATTATGATTAAGATTATGATATCAGTCGAGCAACTGCACACCAGTATGTACCAATTTTCAATCAATTTGATTGTTATAATATAAATAAAACCATTCTGAAGTGGTTTATTAATTTGAAAATTAAGTACAGATCAATGTCATACTAGTGTTTGAGATTGAACTACATGTACATGTAAGCACGTATATGCACTTAACATTGCTGGGCTGTGGAGGATGAGGAGTGGTAAATAAAGTAATGACACAAGAGACTTGATTGCCGGTGAAAGGAAGGGGGGTCTCACCCCGCACGTGCAGGTGTCATAGCGGTCCCTCCCCTGATGCACCTAGGTCGTTTGAGTTACATCATGACATGGACAACGTGGTACCTGAGTGTGAGTGGTCACTACGGCAACCCTGGCAGTGGGCGTCGTAAGTGCTGTTGCCAGGGTACCAGTCTCAACATCGACTAGCACTGTGGCAAGGACACCGTGGTACCCAAGCAAGGTTGTGCATGCTGCAGTGACAGCCCCCAAATTACGTGTGGAAAAAAGTTAGGCACAGTGTATTGGCAAATGAGTCATGCAAAATTCTTATTAATCTAATTGTCCTAAGTTAAATAGGTACAGATGAAATACCTGGCCTAACGCCTATTGGCAGCTAAATACTAAGTGATAATAATGAAAATAAAAGTACAAAGGCAAAATTGAATGATTGTCAAATGAGTGACGTGCTTCAGTCAGTACAAGGCAATGAATGAAATTAACAAATTCAAACTGGACTAATAATGCAACGAATGGTTACGGGTAGAAATACATGAATAGCGAATTACGATGTTATCGAATCAAGTGTTGTACATGATAGTTCAACGAGATATTTTCGTACAGGAGTTCATATGTGTTTCAACAATACTAGAGTCTGTAATAAAAGTATAATATTGTCAACGGGTAGCCTGGATGCTACTTGCCGGAATGTTTTGCTATTGTCCGTGGTACTTCCTGTAGTGTTGCTATAGGAGTCTTGATGTAGACTTGATATGCATCACTTTGCCATCGTCCTAGGCATTTAATTAGCCAGTCTGGGATCCCTGCAGCAGCAGCGGTGGTAGCAGCCCCACTCCGAAAGCTGTGACTGGTGTATTGACTGGTATTGTAGAAACCTGCTCGTGCGAGGAGACGTTGCAGTTCAAGTGTAATCCTTTGTCTTGTTAAAAATGACCCATTCGTGAATTGAAAGGCTGGAGATTGTGCTGGGTGCAAAGCAACGGAGGTGTAACGTAGGTAAGCTCGCACGGCACAGATGATCCTGAGGCTGCGACGATGATATTTTGCCCACGTCGGAATGGGTTAGTCTTCGACGATTTTATGGTGATGTTGAGACTGTTGAGTGATTGGTCGAAGTGGATATCGGAACAAACCATTGTTGTAGCTTCATTGAAGTTGGTCGGTGATTGAGCAGTGAATTCACTCACACGGAGAAAACCAAAGAATGCAATTGTAAACGCAGACCACATCATGAGTTGATCAACTGGTAGGAGTGACTGCGAATGGCGGAGAGCATTTTTTAATGTTCGTAGAATGCTAATGGTGACGGGGAGACGATTACGAACTGGTGCGCTGTGTTGTCGTTTTATTCCTTGGAGTGTCCGGTGTAAATTAGTCCAGTTGGACAAGTCTTTGTGATCTGTCTCGATGAGTAATTCCATTGTGGCTGTGAGATATAATTTGATGGTGTTGTATGACAGACCAGAGGATGCCAGGTATGTGACGAAGAGCGTTGTGGAGTACTGTGTAACAGGTAAGCTGGGAATTCCATGAGAGTAACAAAAGTTTGTATAACGAGTCTGTCCTGTAGCATATGCCCGACGAGTTGACTCAGCAAGGGAATGGTATGCATAGTGCCTGGCCAGTTGTTCAAGGTTTCCTACAGCACAAGCTTGTGGATGTAGTTGGTGTACTCTTGGATGCTGACTAGTTGTTTCGCTGCTTCTGGTGCGATCTGACGAAACCTTTGGATCTGTATGCGAGACAAAGCATCAGCAACATTGTTATTAGTACCTCTGATATGGGTGACCATGACATGGAAATTTGATTTTGCGGCCTTGAAGAAGATTGCCCGTACTAAAGCCATGATGTATGGACAACGTGTGGATCCCTTACTCCAGATGTGTACCACACTCTCATTATCGCAATGGAACATGACACGTTTACCAAACCATGAATTCCCCCAAATTAAGCAGGCTAGCAAAATAGGGAGCAACTCTTTCTATGCAATGGAGAGTTCAGGACTATTGGTTGGTAGTTTTTTTTCCCAGGGTGAGGAAAACCATTCGCCATTGAAGTAACCACCACAACCAAGTGTCGATGATGCATCAGTGTAGAGATCCATTCCAGGTGCGGCAGTCCAAGACGATTGCAGAAAGTTAGCTGTTCCATTCCATGTTGGCAGGAAATCTCTCCACTGTAGATCTAGGTGGAAAGCTGCTGACAACTTCATCTTGTGATGGAGTGAGGCAGCTGTAGATGCCAGGTCAATCATACGTCTCAAGAAGATTCGCCCAGCTGGTACACATTTACATGCAAAACTGAGTGTGCCGATTAAGGACAATAGTTCACGTTTGGTGCATATTGTTATGGAAGCCCATTTCTGCGTGATATGGTTTATATCACACAGTTTGTCAGTTGGCAATTGCATAACCATGTTCACCGTGTCCAATTCTGATGCCTAAGAATGTTAGTACAGTTGTAGGACCCTCTAGCTTGTCTGGTGCGATAGGGACACCAAGGTCTTTACATACTGATAACATTGAGTCAAGACTGTCCGCACATGTTTGAGAGTTAGGTGGCCCTGCGATGAGGTAATCATCCAAATAATGAAGAATATTGTTATTTTTGGAAGAATTGCACACAATCCAGTTAATGGCTTCAGCAATTTGATTAAATAAAAAAGGTGCTGAACGAAG